TAATCAAGTTCCAGAGGCAACAAGTATGCAGGGAATTGGGCAAGTCACACTGCTTAGAGAAAAAAGACTTACGTGAATCTGTGCTAAGTTTATAAGGCTGGTTTCATCTTCACATCTGAAAATTCAACATATTTCTAAGTAGTGAGAGTAGGAGGAGATTACGACAAATGATTAGTAATTTATATACATTTTTGTTCAGTGTTTATTCCTTCCCCCCCCCCCCCAAAAAAAAAAGCCCAAACAAAACCCCCATCATTTGTTTCTGGTTTTAAACACAAATAGCAGTTTTATAAACTTACTTGCATATTTTGGAACAAAAGAGTCCAAAGAATTACAAGTAGGCAATTTCTGAATAGCCCCAAGTTTCAAGTTGGTTACTTTTGCTTTTGGAGGTGGGAAAGCAGCTTTCCCTTTTCAACAAATAAATTACTGTTAGACTCTTCTCTTGAAAGACAGCCATAAAAATTAATGCCACTTTGGTGGGTTTCTGTTTTTTTAAGGAAATTCTGCACTGTATTTATTTGAATGCTATGACACGAGAACAGAAAGCTGGCACACAAAGCCCAGCATGCTGACTCAGCGATGCAGCCATGGGATGGTGGAGGCGAATGGTCTCATTTACGTGTGTGGAGGAAGCTTGGGAAACAATGTATCTGGAAGAGTCCTAAATTCCTGTGAAGTCTATGATCCAGCCACCGAAACGTAAGTATTAATTCTGATTATTTTTGGTCACTTGTGGCTTTACTTGCTCTGTAAATAACTAAAGTATGGATGAAAAATTATATGTGGTAAGGACTTTTGCTGAGTTAAGCTGTAATAAACAAGTTATCTGTAGTTTCACTTAAAAGGCAGTTTTTCTTAAGCAGCTTTTTTTCTGTATTTATTTTCCTAATGCTAGGTTTTATTTATTTACTTTATACTTATTTACTAGAAACTGTATAGTGAGTTTGCCTGTTTGGTTTTCTTTTTCCCTAGGTGGACTGAGCTATGTCCAATGATTGAAGCCAGAAAGAATCATGGTCTGGTGTTTGTGAAGGACAAAATATTTGCTGTGGGTGGACAAAATGGCTTAGGTACTTGAATTCTGCCAGTTCTCTAGCTAGTCACACTAGGTTTCATGGGGGCCTTTTTTTCTTCTACAAAGCATTCATTCTGCTCTGTTCAGCTGAAAAACTTTGAGCAGTACCATAAAACATGTCCTCTTGTTGTGACACCATTGTTGCCTTCTTTCTTGCTTTACTTGCTTATTTTTCACTCTTTTTACTAATGACAGTACTCCCAAACCCAGGTACGCACCCAGACTGTAGCCCAGTTCTGCAGTAGTTAATATGGCTAAACCAGTCATCTGAGAAAAGATTGATTTTTTAAAATTTTTTATTCATCATGTATTTTGAGAGCTTTCAGCATTCTTTTTGAGACAGGTGTAGCTATTATTTTGGGTACTTCAGTCTAAAGGCTTAAAGCTAGTCAACCATTTTAAAGCAGTGAAAAAGTGAAAACTTCTTTGACTGCCTTAGCTTTGAAATATGACTTACTGTCATTAGCAAGTCATTTATGATCTGCCTGTTTCTCCTTGCCTTTAAAACTAGAATAATATTTTATTTCCCAGGAGAACTGAATTTTAATTACATAGGGTTTCTGAAGTGCTTTTTTGAAATGGAAAGTTCTCAGCTATGAGGTTTATTAACTACCATTTATGGTAATTGGAATATTTGATTTCAGATTAATACTATTTTAGAATATCTCTTGTATTTTAATTAGATATTAAAACTACTCCAGAATGATTGATTTCTGATGCAAAAAATCAGGAGGTTTTTTTTTGCAAACATTATATTAATCACTTATAGCCAGAGCTGCCATTTTGTTAAATGTTAAGTTATTCACCGAATGCTCATTTCAGAAGTGTGTACAATAAGCAAATAAGTTAAAGTTATTATTTTGCAGTTCTTATTCTGTAGCCTGATTAATTGTTCTTACTGTAATATATGGAGAAGAGTCATATCTGAGGCAAAATATTTGTACCTCTTAACATGATATAAAGTTTTCTTAATCTCTCAGATCTAAGAATTCAGGACTGAAAATGAAAACTGTGACCCTTATTACAATTGTTAAATAGGGGTAACAGGATGTTTGTAGATATTAATACCCTGTTTCCTAAAGAAGTAAATCTTAGTCATAAAATCTACTCTTCCCTAATAACTTCTGATTCTCTTGGCCCTTTTCAAAAGGACTTGGGCTTTTAAACTTGGCTGATTTTAATATCCTAATGAAGAGAGACATCCTGTATCAGTAAATGACCAAATTTAGGTAAAGGGTAGTGGTGACCCCTCTAGAATAAAATGCTCTCACTATAGGGAAGTTTTGGGTGGATTCCTGAGTTTTAGTCACTAGCCACAAATCCAAAAGGAATTTGGTATTGTAGTTCTTCTGTTCATGAAGTAATGTTAGAATCTCTAGAAAGCATACAATGTGAAATTTGTTACATCTCGCTTTTAGTCTTCTTTTTATTTTTCTCTGTTTCTGTATTTATAAAAGGGTAAAACTGTAGTTTAGAAACCTGTACCTTTTAATCTAAACCTTGAAAATACAAATTATTTGACTTAGGTTTTTTTTTATGCTCTAGTTCAGTCCATGGTATGATGTAATAAGCAATTATCTATTTCATTGCTTTGTAGGTGGCCTTGATAATGTAGAATATTACGATATCAAGATGAATGAATGGAAGATGGTGTCTCCAATGCCATGGAAAGGTGTAACAGTGAAGTGTGCTGCTGTGGGATCTGTAGTCTATGTCCTGGCTGGTTTTCAGGGTGTTGGTCGATTAGGGCACATTCTTGAATATAATACTGAAACAGACAAGTGGATAGCTAACTCCAAAGTCCGTGCTTTCCCAGTGACAAGTTGTTTAATCTGTGTTGTAGACACTTGTGGGGCAAATGAAGAAACTTTAGAGACTTGAAGACCCATAGGCGATGCTGAGACATTCTTCAAGGACTTGGGGAAAGATGGCTAGTGGTGCTTTGCTTCCATGTTTTACTGAATTTTGTTAAACTGAGTAATAGGAAAAACTGAGCTGCAGTCTTTCAATTTGTATATACAGCGTATTGTATTACATGGATTTTTGTCATGCCCATTTTCTTTTCTGTTTTAAGAGATGGGGATGTGTTTTGAGAATCAGCTTATCTAGCTGAGATCGTATGGCATATTCCTGTAAAAGAACTGTGTGTGGCCTTGTCAAAAATAGACCCAGTCCAATTATTCAGAAAAACTCAAAGCATCTGATGAAGATAAGATTTCTGGTTAAATGACACTTTACTGAGCTCAGTTGCGGAGACTTCTTCATTTAATAAAGGTGAGTAAATGCAGCTTGGGTCATGAGAAATGATGAGCAAAGAATCCTCTCATTTATACCTACCTGCCGAAATCTTACTAGGATGCAATGAAGATTTTTTATTTTTTCCTCAGGAAAGACCAAGGACAGCAGTATAATAAATGATTCCCACAGTGCATGGGGATAGGTTATGCAGCCCTCTAGATCATGACAGCTGGCCCTCTTCCAGTGACTGACTTCCATCATTTGCATGACTGCTTATTGATATTTTTTTTTTAAGTTAGACAGGCCATATATATAGATTAGATAAACACTTCGCTAATGACCTCTGGCATTTTGGGGGGCTTTCACGGAAAGACTTGTTTTTTTTTTATTGTCCTGAGGTAAGGGGACGGTGGGGAAGTCCACAATAATTGTGCACTATAATTAGCAAGTTGGAAACTTGGGATTAATTTTCAATATATCTTCCCAGGTATCAGACTGTACATACTGTGAATGCCAAGCTATGACTAAAGATGGGAATAGGAATGGGAAAGCAAAGTCAATACAACAAATGTATTGATTTTTCTTCTTGAAAATGACTGTTTTTAAAATGGCATGAACCAAGTCATTAAAGATATTTTCTAGAAGTCTTCTAAAGTTGCACATGGTTATTAATGTCTGGTTTGTAAGCATATAGTTCTGTAGATGTTTGCAGCCAACAGAGTAGTAACTTTCCTCCAGTGTGTAAGTTCAGCTTGTCCAGCTGTGGGTGTCAATACTGTGTACATCTTCCAGCTCGTGGAAGACTATACAGTGTATGTATGTCTGTCCTGCGCCCATGCTAGCTTAGTATCTTCACCCTGATTTTGTCACCTCTCTTCCGGTTTGCTAATTTTGCTCATTTTCTATGAGACGAGTGAACTTAAAAAGCTGGTGCTTACCTACCTATACCTTGTGCATTGCTGGTGGTGTGGATTTTTAGCCTGGTTTATTTCTGAAGATCCTCCATGTGCCCATTTGTAGTATAAAATCCAGTTTTCAAAGTCAGTGCTGCTTTGTAGACAGCCTCTTGGTTTTCTTCCTTTATCCTAACAAGTCTGCATCTACAGGAAGTAGCAGATGCACTCATGGCTTGGTATCAGTTCCTGCAACTCAGTTCTTTATTCAGGAGAAAGTGAATGTTGTCATTCCCCCCCCCCCTTTCCATTTTTCGGAGCCACAAAACAAAGGTGTCACTCCTCTAACAAGCAGCTGGAGTCAACTGTGTACTTTTCAGAGTGTACAGGCTCTATGTTCTTTCGTAGATGCTTTTAAAATTGTGATGCCCCCTCTGACTTTGTTTTCAAGCTACTGAAAAGCTTCCACCTACAACAGAGGAGCAGATGGTTGAACCGTACCTTGTTGATAGAACAAGGGGCACTCCCGGTGGCAGGGCCGTTTGCTCATAAACGGCTCAACCTCGGTGCTCGCCTTCACGTACACTGCTAGTTCCGTGAGGATTTTCCCCATGGCATTTACCACGCCACAGCTTCCATCCACCATGGTTAGATCCGGTTCGGTGTCTGAGCTGTTCGTGCCCCAGACCGGGCCTGTACCGCCATGTGCACCGATATACGTGTCCCACAGGCTGCCGGCGGGCCTCACACGTTCCCTCGGACCGCGCCGAGGCTGCCGTGCCTGCTGTGACGCCAGTTGCCCGGGGCGGCGGCCGGGACGCTGCCTCCTCCCCCTTCGGCGCCATCTTCTGACGTCCGTGCGGCGTTGTTTGGCGGTGGGGCCTTCATGGCCATCTGTCAGTTCTTCCTGCAGGGCCGCTGCCGCTTCGGGGAGAGGTGCTGGAACGAGCATCCTCGCGGCGGCGTACGATACGGGCCCTCCGCGACCTCCTACCAAGGTACTCCCGAACGCGGCGGCCTGCAGAGGCCTGCAGCCGCCGGCCTGGCCCGGTGCGGGGACTGAGGTACTTGCTGAGGGCTCAGTGCTCGGCCCCCGGGGCCTGCTGCGGGGCTCCGTGCGGGGCTCCGTGCGGCTGGCGGAGCCTGGAAGCGGCCCCGGTCTTGCGGCTCTTGGCCTGAGCTGTCGGCGGTAGTGCCTGCGGGGCCGCTTGTGGGGTTGGGTTCTGGCGGAGGTACCGCAAGTTGTGCCACGGGAACGGAGGAAATAGGCCAGTAACTCCGGAAACCTCGCTGATAGGAACAGCACCTGCGCCTTGTACCCTTTGAAGGGTAGCTTAGTTCGAATGGGATACGCGCCTTTGGAAGCTTTTGGTACGCGAGAGGCGTGATGGGGAGTAGAGGGATACAGTCGTGTCAGGACAGTAACAGGGCTGCCGTTGCTCATCACCCGCTGAAGGAGGAGCAGGAATTGTCTGTCACACAAATGGGTCCAGGGTCTCAAAACTTAACTTGGGAGGTCTTAGCTATGCGCAGAGCTTCAGTTGTAACAATGCAGGCAGGAGCCCTTACTGTAAAGGTACTGTGAGTTAAATTCAGTCTTTTCCTTCTGGGGTAGTTACTTTATGGAACAACATAAGCGAAACTGAAATAGTCTCTTTTCTGCAGTGCCCCGTGTTGTTGGTATGGTGATGTGAGGTGATGGTATGGTGATGATTCTTTACTTCTGATACCAGAACTAACCAGGGTAATGCACTACGTTAAGCTTACTTAATAATCAGGTTAACTCATTAGGAAATAACCTACTTTTTCCTTTCAAGCATCTGATTGCCAGCATAAAAATAATTATACTCACAGTTTTTGTTGATGTTATATTGCTTAATACCTTAATGATTTTTAATTTCTGTTGTTTGTTTCTCTTTGAATTGGAAGGTACAAGCAGAGGAGGATGGGGTAGCGCTAACCAGAGACACACCAATGTTATCCAGCCATCTACCTTTAAGTCTAATGTGTGGGGTGGCAGCAGAGATTATGGAAGAGGACTTTCTGCCTCCTCTGGCTTTGGATCATCAGGGGGCAGCAGCGGAAATGGGGACTTTTCACAGAACAGATTTTCTGTATTAGTCAACAGTCAAAACATTGCTGATGGCTACAAAGATGAAGAGGAGAGACTTCTGTAAGTTATAGTCCTGTCTTACTAAAAACATTTATAATGAGCAGTTTGAAAGCTTACTGACTTATTAGGAATAGTATGTGTAGAGGACATGATTGTGAGGAAGAAAGTGGGATGTGTAAAAAGAACCATAGAAAACATTGCTCCGTTTGGTTCTCTTGAGTTATGCTGGCGTGGGAAGAAAGCAATCCTTGTTTTGAACCTGGATTGGGCAGCTGGACAACTGCATATTACTAAGGTGGCATGGTGTTTAAGTTGTGGGCAGGAAGATAAGGAAGGAAACAAAGATGTCAGTACTTAAAAAGAAGGGGTCGGAGCCCCTTGGACAGCATCTCAACCATTAAAAAAACAAAGCACAACACTCTGAGAAAGTGAACGATTTATCTTAGTTTTCCTGACAATTAAGATAACAAATTGTTCTGCCATTAGTAAAACTATTGAAACCTGGTTTCCCATGCATCTATTTTTGAGTTAATTGAGAGTGACTGGGAGGTTCAAGATGATTACAGAGCAGGTGATGAGGAGCAACAAGCAGTGTTGCTGATTTCCTGAAGAAGCAAGGTTTTGGAACCACTTTCCATTGTATTTTAAGATACATTAAGAAAATGCTTAACAGGTTACTTATTCACTTTCTCAAACATGAATGTATGTTGTGTTACAAACATCCAAAATACTTAGAATCTTTGTTACTGTGTAGCCATCTGCTTGTCCAGTTCAGTTTTTCAACCATTCCTTGTTGTTTACATTTGGATTTACTTTTGCTGATGTAGCTTCTATTTTGCAATGTCTGGATTATTACACTTCCGATTCTTTTCTAAAAACTTGCATAGAATGCATCACTTTCCCTTTTTTCTTCCCTGATTTTTGCTATTTAATAATGTGCACACTCCTCTATATTGTAAAATCAACCAGTATTGAGAAGGTTTTAAATTCTGTTGTGATTTACAGCTTCAGGGAAATTCTGTGACATCATCTGCCATACAAGAACTAAAAATACATTGCCTGTTTTGGGATTTATTTTTTCTTCTTTGAAGGCGCTGTTTGATTTACTTGCAGTCAGATGATAAAGAAAATGCTTTGTAGGGACATTTATGTATCTTGCCACATAAGTGCTTTTTTTTTTTCCTACAAACAACTGAGTACTTCTCTTGTTCATTCCCACTAGTGTCTTTCTTCATTAATTTTCATGGCAGCAGGTATTTGAATCTGGCTTTGGATTTAAACCAGGCAGTTGCTTCTGGTGGTATTGTTTTGACCATATATTTTCACCTGCATCTGTGTTTTTATTTTGTTTTCTAGTGAAAGTGTAGTGAAAGACATGGAAACTTGGGAATCTTCAGGACAGTGGATATTTTCGTCGTATTCACCAGTGAAAGAAAAGCTGAATGTCTCAGGTAATATTTTTAGTGTTGCTATGTATTGCTGCTGTTTAGGATTTTTTTTGTCCACACTGTTGTACCTCTGCAGAACCATTTGCAAGGTGGTGATTGGCTTTGTGGTAAAACAGAAAAGAATGTTGGATTATGGCAAGCTCGTTTTGGACATTCACATATTTGAGGTTCTGTAATACATCCTTTTTGTGTCCCTAGCTGTGACTGACTTATTACAGATAATGTACCATGGCATATTTCTTCATACCTATTGAGGAACTGCCCTCAGTATTTTCTTGGAGAGTTTTTTGATTATCCTTTTCTTACAGGCTTTCAAGATTTCTCGCCAGAAGAGTTGCATCTGGAGTATTATAACTGCAGAGCAAACAATAACATTCAAAACTATGTAAGTATTTTAAAAATGCTGACTTGTGTAGACACATTTTGGGGTAGGACTTGTTACTGTTCAAGTGGCAAATCTCGACTCATTTAATTACCAAACTCTAGCAGATTATGAGAATGCCAAAATGTTTTTAAATTACTGAGCACCAAATAGAATGCGAAAATAGCTGCTAGTCTGTATGCTGTACCATAACTTCCTATTTCTGTCTGACAGCACAAGCTCAAACTGTCAGATCTGAGCTTCTAAAACTGGTGGCCTAGTGTCTTGACACATCAGCTCTACAGGAAGTGGTGGCAATAGACTTTTAGCTAGTTTCAGATAAGTGTGTGGTCTTTTCTCAGTCTAGACATTGCTTGACCTAGTCATGTTCCTGCTTTTGTGTATTATTTGTAGTCACTTGAATACTGTCTCAAAAGTTTAATACTGCATGTGCTGTTAGTTTGATTGTTACAGCTGGTTATATAGTGCTGTAGGTAGAACACAGGGAAGTTTATTTGATCTTGTTATTTTACATACCTTTGTTGCAGGAGATTAATGTGGAAAATAGATAATTCTTTAATGGTGGTATAAACATTTCTAGAGAAGAAGTAACATGTATGTTTTTAAATAAGTGTATTTAAATTTATACATATTGTTCCTCCCGCATAGTCCCATCAATATCAAGGAAGCTAGCAGAGTTTAATGTTGTGCTAGGGAAGGAATTAGGCTGCTGAATAGATGAAAGTACAAACTAACTCAAGCTTCAATGCACTCTTTCCTCTTTTCCATGGTTCTGTATTACAGAAGGAATTGCTGTTGTCACCACTCTTGCTTCATGTGTTTAGAATTATCCAAATTGCATTTTCAGAGACAGGAGATAAAGCTAAAAAAAACCAACCCAACAACAAACCTTCAATTAAAATGAACTGCAGTGATTTAACAGTACACTCTGCCTGGCTGTTAGCAGAAATTTTTGGTCTCATTGAAGCACTAAATGCAAGTCTCAATGTGTAGTTGAAAACTGTATGATACAGTTTTGTTGCAAAGTGTTTTAAGTACTTGTCTTGTACAAAGCATGTTTCTATTCTTAAGCTGGGTCAGAATCTAAATTTTCCAGTCTGTTGTGCAAGAGCTGATGCCAAGCAACATGATCTTCCAGCATGTGCCTAGACACAAAAGAATTACTGATGTTTGTGATGTAAGATTCTTTTGAAAAATTAAGGAATTTATTTGCAAAAAGATAACTTGTTCCACTCTTACAGGCATTTAGGGCACTCTTATGTTTTATTGTTTATTTTTTAAGGAAAATTCATTTAGGCCAAGCTTTGAATAAGGTGTGTTGATAAATTTAAATATAGGAAATTCAGATTAGGAATTCTTGGAAAGTTATTTTTAAGACATTCCAGTTTCTTGTTTAATACTTTCATCATAGTTACCAAAACATAGGCACTATTTATTGGTAGCATATATTCTGTGCGTTAGTCAGTTGGATTACATGAAATGAGCTGATTTAAATTAAGGACTTAAAATATTCAGCTTTGCAAAATTTAAGGTTGGTTCTATTAAAGTGTTTAAATTACAATATTATGAAAGTGAGCTTAATGAGCAAGTACATAAGTGTACAGGCCAGAAATAAAGCAAGGATTGAAAAGTTTCTTCACATATACTTAAAACTTATATATTTAGTGTGTGGTTTGTTGTTGAGGTTTTTTTTTCCCAAGTGCCTAATAGAGCTAGTGATAGAACTTAGATTTAGAAAGCCCAAGATTCTTTTTGTAATCATACTGCTATGTAAAGAAAGTTGATTTAAGGGCAATAGTAAGAGAATTTAAAGGACTTCTATGTTAATATAACAAATATTGCAGCTCCTCACCTTGAAGTTTCAGGAAAGCAAAAATCTTGTCTTCTTGGCTTAACAAAATTTCTAGAAAATTTCTTTCAGTTCAGTTGTCAGATCACTCTTTATTTTCTTTTTTATTAAGTCTTCACCACTAATAAAAACATGCTTTTCTTTTCCCCCTTTTTAGATAAATTCTGTCCAACAGTTAGCAGACCAATGGAAAACTCGGCTGCTCCAGTTGAAAGTTTTAAATGCATCAACAAAAGCAGCCTTGGTAAGTCCTAATGAAAGGTAAAATATATCTGTTCCTGATGTCATCTTTTTATTAATCTTGGGCAAATGTGGTTGGTTTAGATTCATGTTTTTTTAGACACATCCTACTAAACTGTCCTGCAAATTAGCATTTGCATTTTAATTTCTGCTAAAAAGATATCTAAGACATGGTAGTTGGAATATGCCACTTTGTTTTTAATAAAGAAAACTTGCAAATATTCCATACAATCAAAGTATTTAACTATGCTTCTACTGCCTCTATAGAAATAGGTAGTAGGTATTGCTTTGAAGATTGCAGGATACTCTTTTACAACCACATATACATGATTCTTCTAGGGCATCCTTGTTTGCACCTAAATAGCTGAGACATGACGGTGTCTAATTCCTACATTCACTGTCAATCTATGAACTGTTCTGAAAATGTCAGCTACGATGTGTTATATTCTGGTACTTGTAGCCGTGAAAAAGCACTTGGTGTGAAAGTGTTTGGTGACTGGTGGCATGAAGACCTTGACAGTAATCTTAGAATGCTCCTGGGAACGTTAGAGAAGGTAGAAAAGGTGTAAGGAGGAATTACATAAGAAAATAATAACTGCAGTTTGAAAACTGCCCCGTCTGTCCATCTGTGTGATTTTGTAGGTATAGGAACGTGACTGAATATTCTAGCACTGCCTGAGCCAGGTGAACATGAAAGTCTGTGAATGCAGTTTTGGGTCTTAACTCCACCTTTCTCTGGAGTTATGAAATTCATGAATTTCAGGCAGATATTGTAAAACCCTTTAGTTAACTAGGGAAAACGGTGAGTCAGGAGGGTTCCGTGTTAGCAAGGCAGCAGCTGCATCCCCAGGTTTGAAATACTATCATTGCAAGCCATATGAAAGCAACCATAGCTTAAGGTTGGGATCTGATCATGTAGATGTACAGTAAGAGGCTAATATCCACCCCACCATTTTTTCCATGTGCTGATTTTGACTATTCTAAGGTATAATCAGCAGACCAGACCAGAATTGTCCTCCAGGCCATCTTAGGAGAAATAGAGCGTTTTGGTAATGCGAGAATGAGAAATTGGTAAGCTAGGTGGGAGAGAAACTGGGTAAAATTCAGAGATACAAAGAGTCATTGGTCCTGAGAAGGTGATAACACTCTCATGAATCTAGATGTGTCAGAAGAGAATCCTGGGGTTAAAGACAGTATTAAGTAGCCAGGGAGACAGAATAAGTTGATTTAAGTGGAATATGCAGGATGTGCCTGAAGTTTCAATAGTATGATCATCCTGCCTTGGTATTTTCAATGCTGAAGGTGAAAGAAGCAAGGTGAGAGAACAAGGTAAGTCAAAGCAATGATATACGGTCATAAAACACTCGCTGAAATATGTAAAAGATGGGAACAAGAGCTCAAATTGGTGTTTGAGTCACTGTCTGACAGAAAAAGCCTATAAACTGTAATATGTTTGTGTTTCTGGAGAGTTTTAGAGAGAACAGTGTATAGGCGCAGAGCATTTTGTTGATCGCTGCAAGAGCATGCAATTGTGATGGAAGTCTTCAGTGTCTAAGTTGTATTAAGTTGGACTAGGCAACTATATTTTTGCTTCAGGTATTCATTGAAAGACATTTCCCTGTTTTGGAATCTTATTTTCATTTATATATTTGTAATTTTTTAAGCTATCCGAACTAAAGAACACAGTCACTCAATCGTTGCCTGCCTTTGGATTTGGAGGACAGCAGTCGTTGAGCTTTGGGTTGTCAAGTAAGTCCCCGCATTAAGAGCCAACAGTTAAACACTGAGTTTTTCTTCTGCATTATTGAAATACAGCAGTGGTTAGTTCCACAGATGTGCTCATTCTAACATTTTTTTGTATCAACTTCATAATTGCAGGCTTTCCTGTGATCAGCAGCAGTAGCAGTGTTAGCAGTTTCTCCTTTAAAACAAGTTCCAGTCTTGTCAATGCATCGTCTGGAAACACCTCTGCTTTTGGGAGCTCTTCTGGTGGTTGTAATCCTCCTGCATTTGGTGCGACATCCTCTCTTAGTGGATCCCAGTCTGCTGGTTTTGGCAGCCCAGCAGCTCCGTCTGCAGCCTCCTTCTCATTTAAAACTTCTGAAAAAACTAGTGGTTTTGGAACTTCTGGGTTTTCAGGGTTTGGCACTACTTCTGCTGTGAGCTCTTCAAACATCACTCCACCTAAAGTCTTTGGAGATTTTAGTGCACCAGTAGCAACTTCTCCCTCACATTCAGGCAGTACTCTATTTGGACAGACCGCCAGTGACTCTGGACAGACCTTAATGTCAGCGCCTTCTGCAGTCACAAACAATACTTCATCAGAAAAGTTATTTACACCAAAGAGCGAACTGTCAGCTGAAGACTTGAAACAATTTGAAGCAAAAAAGTTTACAATTGGAAAGATTCCTCTTAAGCCACCACCATTAGAACTCTTAAATATTTAGAACTTTTAAAGTTTATTCTGAAATTACATGGTTTTGTTACTTCTCCGATACCTCACTCCATCGCTTTGTGATTGAATAATGAAATAGAGTAAATCCAGCTGAAAACAAAGTTGAGTTTTTGTTTCTTCTCCATGTCTTCTGCAGTGATAAACTCAAAGGTACAAACATTACAACACTATTTTATAGTTTCTTGGTTATTTTGGAATGTACCTTTTATGTTCCAAGAAATGAACTAATGAATATTTTAAGTTCCCTTTTATATTCTGTACTGTGAAATTCTGGTCAAAAACTATATTAAGAAGGCTTTGTCAAAAGTGTGAGTGCTTTAGTTAGATATTCGGAGTCTACTGTGGATAGAATGCTAGAAAGAAACAGCTGCACTGCCAGACTGCTTGTTGTTGGACCACTTTGTCATTTGCCTCTTACTTGGTGCAGCTTTTGACAACTGTGTTTGGAGAGAGGGCTCCTATGTGGTCTCTACCCAGCTACATCTTCCTCTCACCCAGGAGTCCGTTACCTGTCCCAGCTGATCTAGTTCAGCTAGTGTTAGCTGTTCTGCTTCAGGTCATAATGCACACATTAGTGTAATACAGTTAGGGGAGGGCAGCCTTGAAACCATTCATCATGAATAAGGAGCTTGTGGTTTGCTGTTTTGCCACCTCTTTGATCAAACTTTGCAAGCAATTGTAAAATCATGCCCTACACGTATGTGAATTGAGAACCAGACAACAAAATTCTGTCAAAATTGATGGGTGTGTATATTGGCTTTAGTGATATTTTGCCTAGATGCTGTAAAACAGGGGTCAGAAATTTTCTAGAGAGGGTACAAAGCCAGGTGAAGAGAACATTTGTTCTTGACCAGGGCCCTCCCAGTAGTGGTTTAAAATTACTAAACCTCAAGAGAAAAGCAAAAGTTTACTCCAGGATCTACATAAATAAATTGATTTGTCCCTTTAACACTTGAAGATAGATAACTTTTCAGTTCTTGCTATGGACCCTGTGGTCCTACTTAAGACTTTGCTATATCTGTGCTTCCTACCAAAGGTCCAGAATGCTAAGATAGTGTGAATGAATTTAACTTTTAGAATGATAGGCCACGTGTGGGTGCTGCAGGTGTCATAGAAATCCAGGTGCCTCAGTCCACATGCTCAGTGTAGATGTTATGTTACAATACTGGTTTGTTTATATGAATTTTTCTGGTGATTGTTTTGTAAATGAAATAAAGCATCTGGTTTTTATTATTGTTGGTAGTGACCCAGGGCAGGCTTCCTGCAGCTCACAAACAAAATACTGGTACACTAGCCCAGAGTTCCATTTAATTCTTATGGAATGTGTTTCCAAGTGAGATCTCCAGAGCAAACTAAGACAGGTACATCTGTCAGGGCTCACTCAGCTTACCTGGATTTTGACACAGGAACTGAGGACCATACCAAAATCTGTATTTGCATAAATCCCATCTCTTTACAGAAGTTGTTAAATAAATGTTTACAAAAGGGAGTTTAACAACAAACAAATACATTTGTGGCTTGTCAGATGAATTCCATCACTCCATGAACTCATCCTATTACACGCTATATACACTTTCCCCTGTTTCATTCGTGAAGCTTTAGTGATTCTCCAACCCAGCTACCATGACTTTTAAAGTTCCTATAATTTTTGTTAGATTAAAACAGCATTCTAACCTGGCAAGAGTATATTTTAGGGTAAAAGTACAGAATTAAGCATTGCTAATAAACCTGAAGGATCCCTTGGCATGTTTTAGAGGACTGTGAATGGTTTTGCCTTACATGTAAAGTAGTAATAATTTTTAAGTCACCTGTGCTTTTTCTCCTGATCTTTTATTCCTAATGACCATTCTCTTGAATGACTACTTTAACAAAGAAAGAGAGCAACGGTCTTAAGTCCCAGTTAAGGACAGACTACCTCTGGTGAATGCCCAGGCTAAGTTGAAGTGTCTTTATGCGTAAGGCCGCTGCAAGGTTTTTGAGCTGCTGTACCTCACTGCTGCTGCTTTGTTACACAAGAGCTTAAAGCAGTTTGCTTTTGAAGTGATGAACTGAAGCCTTTGGTCTTTCTTCAGAGTAGCTCAGTAGGTCATTGCTGTTAAGCTGTGCCAAGAGCTTTCAAGGCTCAAAAATGTGCAAGAGCTTTTTTTAAATGGAAGAACTTAAAAATTGTAAGAACATAAAAAATCTGGATAATCTACTGTACATGCCCAAAAGAACACTGCCAGATCTTCTCAAACATGATTCTAACCTACAGCAGAGAAGATAACTTTGAAGTCTTGTGTCACACTGCAATTAAGAAATAGAATCATAGAATGGTTTGTGTTGGAAAGGACCTTAAAGCTCATCCAGTTCCAACCCCCTGCCACAGGCAGGGACACCTTCCACTAGAGCAGGTTGCTCCAGGCCCCAGTCCAGCCTGGCCTTGAACACTGCCAGGGATGGGGCAGCCACAGCTTCTCTGGGTAACCTGTGCCAGCGCCTCACAGCAAGGGAGGTATTCCCAATTTAGGTTTGTTTTTTAAATGCATCTTTTTTCTCACCCTCAGAAAAGAAAAAAAAAAAATCAGTATTGCAGAGATACTGAGAGTCGGTATTTCATCCCAAATGGGCTTCTGACCATCTCAAAAGATGGCAGAGAGCAGTGTGATGCAACTTAGCTAGCAAAAAGCAAGCTGTGTATTTGGCTGCAGAAGTAGCAATAAGGATAGGATAGAACAGGAAGAAATGGTATTGTTCTAGTGGGCTTACTAAGCTTCAGAAAATAAGCAACAATTTGTCAGTAGATCAAAGCAATCTTTCCCAATATTTGTACTAAATTTCCTTTTTTGTTGCTGTTCTGCTGTTCATCCTGTTCTGCTTTTGGTGTATTTGATATCAAAGTTGCTTGCAAGTACAAAGGTAGCTAAATAATATCTTCCTTTTAAGCTACAATCCTTTCATTTTTCTTAACTTTTCCTTTTTGCAACTGCTTTTTTGTTTGACATATGGCTGCTTTCCAGAAAGTCATAATACTCTGGTCTGGCATATAAAAACGCAGTAAGGTGGCAGCAAACTCACAGATCTCACTTACTGTACTTCATTTTAGAACAGGAAACAGGAGATGAATATCCAAGCAAAGAGGTGTAACGTGTCCCGATCAGTACAACATGGTCTGTGAAATGGGCTAGAACATTCAAGCTCCATGTGATATTTTCAAGTACTTCCCTTACTTTGAAATAACAGGATTTATGAGTCACTGAAATTCCTGTGGTGTGGTACCAACAATTAATTTGAAGAATGATTTGAAGTTTTGGTTTCCAAGAGATCCTGGATTAATCCTCAGGCAGCAGCACTTGAGATTGGCTGCATGCAAGAGAAAAACCCTCCACTACCCCAGCAAAGGAAGCAGCCCAGTATCTAGCAAAGGGAATTTTCTCTGCCCTTTTTCCTCCAGGTGATGGTAGCAGCACAGGGGGATCTCAAAATACAAGCTAGTAGCAGAGAAGAGAGGAAAAAGGGAAACAAGCCTCAGAAAGCATTACAGTTCTGTCTTAAATATCATAATAACCCTGTGCTCTGTAGTTTCACTACATGCAGCAGAAAGTGGCAAGGCAGCCTTACACTGAAGAAAGATGAACTGCAAATAAGCTTCAGAAGATAAAGCTAAGGGTATTGACAACAATAAATTAACCACAGCCAGCACGATAAGGAAAGAAGAGCTTTCACAAACGTGTCTGGGGGGAAAGGAATACAAAAAGGCCTATTAATACAGGAGCACTGAATTGAGATTGATAACTCTGAAATGGAGGAAATCTAGTTAAAAACACTTGGAATGAGGGGCAGTTGAAAATCAATAAGGATGAAATGCAGTAGCTGATAAAAGGCAAGTAAGAACATATTTGTGAAATGTGAGCTTACTGCAGCACAGCAGGAGTCCAGATAATCTACTGTACGGGTCAGCAAGGGAATCAGCTAATGGACTTGCTATAGTTCTGGTAATTATTCAGATAAGTGATAGAGCACCAGGGAAAAGGTACTTGTTCTGCTGATGGTTGCAAATACTTTGAGAAGATTCTAAAGACATCATCTGGTAGCAAAGATGTAAATTTTCTGTATCAAACACCTTACTAAAGGGTAAGGTGTTTGATACAGGCATTTACAAGGTGAAGGACGTTAGCAGTGATTAGGGTTAGTGATTAGCCATAAACACTGACAACTAAGTGAACGCTTTTTGTTTATACTCCATCTAATGTCCTGATGTAGAGGGTAAACTGTAATTTGTATTTACCTGGCCCACAGAGGAGGAAGAAAGCCATAGGTAGTGTTTAGACAATATGAGTACATATCTAATTGTATTTGAGCTCGTATACAACAACTGAAGATAAAAATTAGACTACTGGTATTCAGAAAGACAGAAAACTGTAGAGTTGAGAAGTACCAACAGTGAGATATGAAGCCACAGTGGCTTAGATCAGTATAATGTAGTTTGAGATGTAGGGATCTCCTACAGCTGTGCTAATGCTGTGCTTGGTTCTGAGCACACAGTTGCCAGAGCTGCATGACGAGTAGAAGGAGATTCAGAGGGCAGGCAAAGCAATTGGAAAGGAGGATTTAGGCAGAAACTTCAGAACTGAATAATTACTACTTGGTGAAAGCATTGGCTGTGGGATGGAATGACTGACTTATTGAAAGGGTACCCTCTCAAAAAGGAGGAAATGGGAAACTAGGAAGCAGAATATTGTGGTACTTGCTTGGAGGTGTCTTGAACAGGAAGTTTCCCACCTGGGAAAGTCCTTTTCTTCCTCTGTTAAGGTCTGGCCATGTCAAAACCAAAACACTAGGAACAAATCCCTACCTGTCAGGACTACTACTTCATGTTCTCAGCGTTGCAACAGTAGTCAACGCAAGTAGATCTGATCCGTTGTCTTTGAACCAAAACACACAAGCACAACAGTGTAATGCTGGGCATTTGGGGCAGGCAGCTCTATGTGCCTGCCACCTCTCCTGGCAATGATTTAGGGGTGCTAGTCATAAAGAGAGAGCCTCTCTCCCTTGAGTTTAAAGAGGCAGGTTAGGGCCCTAACACTAGGAGTGAATATGGCTCTTGGTCTTGAAACTTTCTGTCGTGGTTTAAACCCAGTCAGGTAATTCGTTCGCTCACCCCCCCCTTCTTTCCCTCCCCCTACTCCCGGAGGGACGGAGAGGAGAATCGAAAAGAATGCAACTCCCACGGGTTGAGATAAGAACAGTTTAGTAACTAA